TATATATATATATATATATAAATGCATTTTGTTCATATACAACTTTTTGTTGGTACAACACATACTTTTTCCACTGTACGAGCCGTTCTGTAACTTTCATGACATAATTCGATACGAAGTAAATACGCGTTTCCAATAAAAATCCATTCAAAAGAAATCTATCCACACCGAGATGCGCCGATCACGTAACTGAATTTCATTAATCGCCGGTCAGTTCGCGTCGAGGATCACACCAGTATAGTGTGTCCTCGTATTGCGATCGCTTCGCGATTTTTGCGGCTTTTTCGGATGAATTTCGCGTACAGAGACGAGAGTCAAAGTGGTGAATCTGGCGACGAGCAATCATGTAGGTATATCAATCTGCTCGACCGCGATCAACGCGACTCTCGGTATTCGTAACGAGTTGCCATCGGATCGAGTTGCTATCGGCTCACGTTGCCATCGGCTCGACTGTTTTTCCAGGCCGTTGGAGTGATCCAATCTTTTACTCGCATTTCGAGATACCCACTTGCAGCGAATGCCATCTGCGAGTGCCATCCACGAGGAGAATCGAGGAGAATCACTAGGGACACCACGAAGAGAACAAATTGAAGAATCGTCGTAACGAAACGATTGGGACCAAAGATATATAGAATGAACTGCATCATCCGTATCAAATATGGTCAACGACAATGAGAGAGAGGGAGCGTGAAGAAGACCACTTCCTCTCATTCTCTCTCCCATTACATCGTTGAATAGAAAGAGATAAGATTGGCTATCTTCACATCCTTTCTCATTCATTTTTGTCGATCAGTTTGACACACGGATGGCGCAGTCCATTCTATGTGTCTTTGATTGGGACAAGTAAACTCGCTTCTCCGTAATGTTGCACTGTTTTTTTCCAGTTCTGAACTTTGAAGTAACTTTCGAATTCGCGACGGAACATTCTTAGATCGCACGGCGTTCGCCGAAGACAAGCTGCTTGCTTGCGTTTGTTTGTGCTTGGACTCGATGGTCAGTGATCTAGTTTTCACCGAAGCATCAATTTATACCTAATCGGCGTATAATCAAAATTTAAGTTAAGGACTCGATGAGAATGCGTTTGCACTGAGAAAAAAATATAGTCGATTTTAATAAATATTTAGTTCAATACTGCCGATTAAACATTTACTTACCATAAATAAATATTTGTTCAGTAAAAAGAATGATTGTTCAATCAAATTAATGTTTCTTGTATCAAATAAATATGTCTTTATATTTGATAAATATTTAGTTGGCAGTATTCAACTAAATATTTATTAAAATTGACTATATTTTTTCTCAGTATGGTTGCGCTCATTTCACTCCAGTTTCGAGCGACAAAGTTAATACTTTCAACAGAAATAGCATATCGCACCGAAATGAAATTGAATTGAGGACTTTCGTGGAACCTAGACTAGTGATGCATGATGATGTGTCTGATGATTATCTATCAACGACGCATCACATCGCGGAAAGTCATGTCAATCTAGCGTTTAGTCGCGTGAATCAATTGTACTAAAAAATCGGACGAGCAAACTGGCCGCGAGGATCTTTCGCAGAAAGAAGCCGTGTACGAGTACGTGCGTTATCGCGAGTGTCGGTAATAAACGAATCCATGAGTGACACTAATGTCGGATAATCTTTTCTCGCCGTTGCTGTCGGGAGTGAAGTCAGGATCTTTCGATGGGTAGATTAATCCAGATTAATCGACCGAAGTCGTTCGATCACGATCGGGTGCAATTTCGAAAAAAAATAATCATTCGCGAGTATGTTGGATATAAGTGTAAATGAAAAGTGCATCATGAATTACGGAGCAATACCAATAACGTAGAGGAATCGGAAGAGACAGAGAGACAATTGTTTTTCGGCCGTCGCGTCGATGGCGATAAATCCTAAGCTTTAATTTCGGCATCAATTTTTTTTTAAGATCTTCCGTCGTAAGTAAGTACAATGCAAAATTATCTCTATTATAAAATCTATCCTATACAATTGTCAATGATGTTGAGTCCTAAGCTTTAATTTCTGCGTTGTTAGTCTCAAGATTTTCGTACAATGCAAATTGCTTATTATAAAGCTCATTCTATAATTAATTGCGTAAATATATACATATAATTATAAGTAGTTGTAATCGTAAGAATTGACCAATCACAATCAAATATGGGGAGAATATTCTACTGGTTGGGCTATAAAAAATTGATTAATCATAGTCAATTGTCCTCCTCACATTCGATTGTGAAATGGTCGATTTCTTAGCATAAGGCTTAAAGTTTAAATTTTACACCTTAAAATCTCATCGTAGACGTCGCTTTACGCAATTGTAGAACGAACTTAAGACTGTGGTCTAATTCACGCTTACAACTCATGAGCATCGATTGTCCTTGTTTTTAATAAACAACAAAAATAACAATATTCTAAGAGCATTGCAAGCGTGAATCGCAACCTAAGAATGACGTGAATAAATGGAGAAGATAATAATTAAGTAGATAATAATAAAATTGGAAATAAGACCGTTTATGTTAGAAACATTACTTTAAATACGAAGCGCCACTACGGTCTGAATGTTAAGATGTTGAACTATTATATATATTCATTTAAATGAATTAATTTCAGAAATTATAATTGCGTGCCGATATGGCTGTCGGACTTTCAACGCAATCAATCTGAAATAATAATAATACCCCCACATTTCCCAAATTTAAACTTAAAAAACCGAACGTAATAAACTTAAGTAGATAAAGATAAAGATAATAGACAAGTAAATTAAAAAAAAAACGGATAAATTTTAAACTACTAACTTAGAATTGTCAAGAGAAAGTTCGACGCAATAGACATTTTTCGAGATTCCTGTCTAGTCAACACAAACTAAAAAGTACAAAATTAAAAGTAACATAATATCAATCAATATTATATAATTTTGCACTCGATAATATAAATGTAATATAATACATGATATTACATAACAGTTACATTGTTAAACGTAAAATTATATTATTGATGTTATTTTAAATTTAGTTAACGTCCACTGGTCTCGTCTGTATGTAAAAATCCACGAAAACTCGTTGTTCTTGTAATTTCTACAAAACACGTACAGTAATTGTGTGCACATTAATTGCTCTTTTATCATTTTACATCAATTTTTACGTAACCCGCCTGTAAAGGACAATGCCGCGCTCGGTACAGTGTTTCTTCGACGTTAAAATAGATTTGCACACAATGTCGGAATGTCGCGTTTGTAATCCGACGTTTGAAACGTCTAAATGCCACGCGTACGTATCCGTACGGAATAATTTACATCCGCTGGTAAAACGTCATCCCGTGTAACGCCGCTGCAACACGGTGTTCCGTGCGCGGAACATTCCGAACGAGCGCGTAAATTTTGCGATATCTAGGGCCGTGCTATCGCCATGCGATGTCACGCAATAATCATTTCTTTTCAACGTTGCGAACGTTGAGAAAATTCCTTTTAATTCAAAAGGTTTCCTCGTATTTAAAAATTTAAAAGAATAACGCATTAATATTACATTAAATAAATTCTGAATTTAACAAATCCTTTAAATAATGTCTATTCCCACCAATGTAGATTAACTTTAATCTCGGTTTAACTTACTTTTTATCTTGTTCTAAGAATTAGAAAAAATAAAGAGTAAGTTAAGTCGAGAGTAAAGTTTAATTTACATTAGTGGATTGAAAAAAAAACCCCTCTCTGGTAATAATTACCAAATGTTGAATGAAATAATTTCAGTCAAATATTTGGTTAATATAACTAAAAATAATTTTATACCGAGCAAAATTTTTGATTGGAAATCAACGAATCAATAGATTCTGATATCATATCAATCAAAATTCTAGTCGAGATAACTAGACGTTCAATTATGGTGACCGGAGTTCTGATTGATATGATCAGAGTCCACTGGCTCATTTTCAATCAGAAATTTTTCTCAGTGTACTTTTTTAAATATTTAGTCAGTATTATTAAATACATAATAATATAATCGATCATTTAATAACAATTACTATATTTAGAAAAGTTAAATTATTTTTTATTACATTAAGGAGTTATTCCACTTTGAAACTTTCAAAAAAAAATCGGAAAAATTTTTTTTATTTAAATCGATAGTTTAGGATCTTAAGAATATAAAATTTTTTATCCGAAAGTAAAATTTCCAATATTAATGAAAATACAGTTGATTATATCAAGCGGTGCACAGTAATGCTGTACCTCCACGCCGCTGTTAAACTGTTCCATTTATGAATAGTTCCGTCATTATTTGATGTTATACATAGTTACATATCTGTACTGTAGATGACATTGACACACAATTTTAATATAGATTATACCGGGTTCGGTCAGAAATCAGTGCCTCCATGTACTTAAAATACGATGAAAAGAGATTATTACTGAAACTTTAACGTTTTTCTCAGAATGATATTTTAAAAAATGGTGGACACTAGAACTACCACAAAATTAATCCAAATGCTTTGAAATTTGGTTCAGTCATTGTCAATTGAATTATATAAAGAAATACCTGTGATTTTTGCGACCTTGTAATACTTTTTTGTTATCCATATTTTTATGTCAAATTTTTATGTAAAAATTGAATTTTTTTTTTACGCGTGCACCATTTCCACATTTTTCAATATGTTTTAATTCTGTCAAGTATTTCTCTAGCAAATTTAATATAGATCAAAAATAACTTTTTAATTTTAAAAATAATTTTGAATTTTAAAATTTGGCTACAGTGTACCTTGGACCTGTTCTGCTGTCGCGGATGCTTTCATCACATGCAGGCTTCCAAAAAACGTGCTACAACGCCATCATTTTGTTTTTTAAAATTTAACGACAAAGGAGCATGAAACCACTGACAGGTTGTTTTTTGTGATATTTAATATATTACAAAGATTCAGATTTAATTTAAATGTTTCGGTTCTACACAGTTCGATACATTTTGTTGCTTCATCAACCACGTATTATGGTCTCACGAACAAGATGAAAGAGAGCGTGATTTTTAATTAAAATGTATGACTGCGAATTTTATTGTTTAAATTTATGCAACTAATGCGGGATTATTTATATTTTTACTGAAGATGGCCAGATATTAGCCGAACCGTCTAAATTAAATTTGAATTTTTGTAATATATTAAATATTACAAAAAACAACCTATGCAAAGTAGTTGTATATGCTCGTTTGTCGTTAAATTTTATTATTAAAAACCACTTTCTTATTAATTATATTGTTTTTTAAAATTATAATTTTTATACATTTTGTACATCAAAATACAAGTAACAAATAGATAAAGATTTTTTGTATCATATATAATTTTTTAATAATCACCTCTCAAAGTAAGGTATAATTTTGAGGCCTCTAGGGTAGAATAACCCCTTAACCAAATATTTGATTGAAATTATTTTACTTTACATTCAATAGCTATTATCAAACTTTTTCCAGATGGATTATAAAGAGGAATTAAATTCTTTCTTTATGTCACTTCCTAAATAAGTCTCGAGTTATCAGGTTTTTATCTGACATAAATTGCATGTAGATTTTATGAACATATTTCTCGATTGCTTTATTTAACTTTGAACGAAATGCAACGAATGCGGTTGTCTTCGAATTTTTTAAAGGGAAATCGGTTGCGACGAGACATATTAAAATCATCCCCCTCGGATGATCAATTCGCGAAGGTCGCTAAAGCCGCTTACCTTGAAACCCTCGTCAACGGGAATGAAGAAAGTAAAACGACCTTCAGCCTTGTAGATAAGTTCCTTCTTCTCGATGACGATCTGCTGTCGGAAGGTACTAGAAAGAAAAAAAAGGGTTAATTACGAAGGTAGTGTACGAGACGCGGCGACGTTAATAAGACAAACGAGAAAAGTTCGTGCATTTATTTACGTTTGCGCCAAGTTTTTATATTTATATTTAAATTAGAAGGACTGCGTTTTAATTGATGGGTCGACGTAATAATACTTTAAAATTGTCTGTAGAACCGTTCGAGAGGATAAAAACAATCAATATAAGATAATTAAATCAGTATGAGGCCATGCATATTTTATAATACATTGGCTTTGTTCAACAGAGAAAATTATTTTGCAACTGCTGTGAAATTCTTTAATATAATTGGTTTATTCAGATTTAATGAGGAACTAGGAAAAGACTTAATATCTCTCATATTAAAGAATTTTACAACATGTACAAAGTTGCTTTATCTGCTGAACTGTCATCATCGACGTACAGAAATATATTAATTTATAAAATGTAGTTTAATCACATCGTGATAACCAAACGCGCGTCTGTTGTAGAATAAGAAATATTTTTTAAAGCGATTTCCTTATAGAGAAGAATTCTTGAAATTCTCGAAAATTGAAGGATTTAACAATAACTATCTAAAGATCTAAGAATACAAAGATATCGTTTAAAAAGTAACATTTCAAGAGCGCGATATACGCGTAAAAGCAGATTATCGTTCCAAGATTCGAGGGCGTGAAAAGCTTTCTTCTCTTCTTTTTCCGAGCGCAATAAATGTCCTCGTTACTCTTTTATATCTGCCGCCAGACACTCTTACTACCGAAAACGATCGCCGTGTAAATAGCGAATCTCTCGAACTCCGGCATTGATTTACTGAACAGTCTACTTACCGTACGCGATGGTCGCCCAAATTGAGATTCTCGCTCTGGTTCAGAAATTGAAAAGCGTTTGGGTTGTAGACCGGTGATTCCATTGAGTTGGATCGCACAGGCTCCAACACTTCGTTTATGATGTGCAAGACCTGAAGTCAAAGAAAGATTGTTTGATTGTTATTAAAGAATGTTATCAGTTCGAAATTAATATTAAAATAATTTATAGCCATATCAGGCAGAAATAATGATAAAGAAATTCGTATTGAAAGAAATGAACGGAGAAGGATTTCGAGGAGGTATCATAAGACTGTGTTTAGCAAAGATTTTCTAGAGAAATTACGTAATTGGCAAGTGTAGGGATGTTGAACCAAGCAACCCCGGGATTAAGGTTTAGAGTCCCTAATTCTGACTTGCAAGGACCAAGTTAATCTCGCCAAGTTCGAACGGATCCATGAATCCAGTTGTGGCGGAGAAGATGAAGTGAGACAAACCGACGTCAAGCTCGTGACGCGAACTTGGCGGGAACGTGAAACACGAAGAGAGACACGAAGATAAACCTCGCAAGTCTGAAGTAGAGGAAGCGGAAGCGCCGAATAAACGCGGAGCTAGAGAGAGAGAGAGAGAGAGGGGGGGAGGGAGAGAGAGAGAGAGAGAGAGAGAGAGAGAGAGAGAGAGAGAGAGAGAGAGATCGCAAGTATTTATCCTGTGGCGACGAACGTCGGCTATATCGGATCTGTCAGAAGCAACTGACGCTGCGCTTTAATAGCAAACATGAAGGAGAGAAAAACATATTTATTCGCGTGTGTCTAGATAATACACTATGAAATTCTCCTCGACAAAAGACAGGTTTCTTTTTAAAAATAATATTTCGAAATAACGTTTCTTCAGTTTTACTTGACACAAATTCGATTGCACATCCGGCTAGAAACTTTCATAGGGAAGATCATGTATGTAATCTATATTGTAAATTTTAAACTCTCTGGAATTGACGTGGATTTATTGGACTTTATACTCAATTAAATCTCTTTGTCAAAAATGTCAAACGATCAGTATCAGTGCGCTCCTCGCCCTGATAAAATAAACGGTAAGGTTCATGAAACGGCGATAATCCGCAAACCCTTTGATACCTTTGAAGAAAAAACCCGTGAAAGCCTCAAAAGTATTATCAAAAGTATTGTCAAATAATTACATTTTCTTCATGTTACACCTGAAAAAATTTGAATTATTCTTATTAAAATATACTTAATATTCATCCGTTTTTATACGAGTTATAACTTCAGTTTATTAAAATTAATTAATGCCTTAATTAGTTCTTTTAATTTACTGGAACTATTTTTAATTTTATTCAGAACCTCTAGAACTCTTCAAAGTGCATTCAGCACTGTAAGAAAGTTATTTTTTTATTCAAGATGAGTTGCTAACTTTACAGAGATTTTTAACTAACATAAATTAAATAGAGATCTTATACTCAGCATCAGTAACTGTTACAGATTTTGACGTCAGCTTCGAAGGGTTAAGTATAGAAAATATATTATACGAGATCTGCTGCCGAAGAAAGAAAGAGAATAGGTTTCTTTTACAGACTCTTTTCTCTCTCTTTGTCTATTACGTACATGCTATTTCACGAAAAAGTCACTGGAAAGTGATAAGATGTAGAAACTGTTACCCCTTTGCACGTCCCCATCGGGAACAAGCACCATCATTTACTATCCTGAAAAGGAAAAAGTTCACGACTAAAACGTTGCCGCTGCTATTTATTCGCTCTCACCCGCGATCGTCCTGACTCCCTTATCTCGCGAGGGATATCCTGTTCCTATAGCTGTTTGCTCGGTTGTTTGGCTTGCTCTGTCAGGAAAGAAAAAGAGAATGGAAGAGGAATAAGGGCGTTGAGAAAACATAAGTGTCAAAGTTGCAATGCCCTGAGAGATTTTGCCTGTATATATACATAATATTGAGATATAGTTTTCCAGCGCTCTGTATTGATAGAAACATCCCCCCCCCCTCTCTCTCTCTCTTACTAGAATTTTATTTAATATCCGTAAACTTAATCTTTTAGCTGTTGGTTTGCTACAACATATATCTTAAATAATATAATTAAATTCAAGACACACCTTAAGAGAAAAGGGACGGGGAAGTGAGAAGAAGAGAGGGAAGCGAAGAAACTAATTGAAACGCTGAGAAACTGTATTAATAAGCGACGATGATAATGGAACTAAGTTAACATAATAATTCATCAGAAACTATTTTCTCTGTACTACTTCCGTACCTACTGTTGAATTATTACAACGGTCATTCGATATATAGTATCACAGACAAATTATACTTTGAAATTATATATAAAAAGTATCTTCTATATATAAAATTCCATATTTAAAATGTTTGAAGATTTAAAAAACACGCAGATTTGATAGGAGCGTTCATGGAGTAGATAATTAAATATCCGCACGATCCATCGTGGCTGCGCCGACAGTTTTAATACGAAACATCCATCACAATGTCTAAAGATGAAGGGGAGGGGGAAAAAAAGAAGAGCCGTACGGTCGTACGAAAAGTTGGCGCCTATGAGCTCTCTAAGGGGAGGGGGAGGGGAGGGGGGAGGAAGTGCGGGTAACGTGGAAGATCATATGATAAGAGGAGCAAAAGGAAGACAACGAAGGAGCGTGTCCCATTTATCCAGCGTAGTCGCAGAAAAAGACAACGACGACGACGGGGGAGGTGGAGTATGGCGGTTGGCTAGAAATGAATCGTTTTACTCACCGAGAATGAGAGAGGAAAGCGAAGTTTGTGTGTTCCTTACGGGATAAGACGGGCCGAGCTAGGACGCCCATTTATCTTGCTCGCGGTCGCGAGTCGTCGAGGGAGAAGAGGTAGGAAGAGATCGAACGTTCGCCAGCGCAGGACGAATCCTTAATTTTTCGCGCGGTTACCTACTCTACGCGTCTGATTTTTTCGCGTAACAGCTGAACGTCAAGAAGACATTAGAAGTCGCAGAGTACATGAGCTCCTTTAAACTTTAACTGAAACCCGAGAAATCATTACAGTCTAACCAAAAAATATGGGTGCGGATTTCATTTAACATCTAGGTGTTAAATATAATTCTTACCATGTTGTAAACATCAACATAAGGTGATTTTATATCAAAAGTTTGAAATTATATTGGGTCGTTGGAAATTATATTGGGAAAAAATTTCTTCGTATTTTTTAATTCAAAATTGTATATATCTTTATCAAAAATGAACGTAATTTAAATTTAAAATAAGGGTTTTAAAACTTGAAATCTCTACTTTCGAAAAGTTATTATATTTTTTGAGTTTTTGTGAGTTTGGTAATTTTTACATTTAAAAAACTGCGACCTGAAAAAGATGAAAAATTTTCTTTTCACTTTAGGGGTCTCTTACGTGCCCCAAAAAAAATTTACGAAAATGTTCTACTATCTATCGTAAAAGCTTGAAGCTTTCCCTACAAAATCATTTTTTTTTAATGTTCCTATGACTTTTTGTTCCTGAGTTATTCACGAGTTAAGTAAAGGAGCATTCTGACTTTGATTGCTCTCATAACTCCGATAAAAATCATCATACCGCAATTTAAAAAACAGATTCTTAAAGCTAAAACTTTGCTCTAGCGAATGATATAATTGTAACGAAAATTTCGTAACAAATGAAAAACTTTTGCAAAAAAATTTTTTTAAATACGAAGAAACTTTTTCCCCGACCATTATATGGAAAAGTTTTGTTGAAATACCTAAAAATCTAGATACAGATTTGAAAATAATGTTGGCTCATAAAAATAATTACGTAGGACGCTCAAACTGATTGGTTGCTAGAATGTCAAAACTTTTGAAGTTTTGCTTGTATCATGCTTGAAATATCTGAATAATTATTATTTTGATGGCCCAACAAAATTATTTTCGTATCTAAATTATTAGATACTTCAGCAAAATTGTTTCTTCACTGAACCGAAACTGTACTAGAGTTACTAGAAATACTTAGAAATACTAGAATTACTAGAATTACTAGAAATACTAAAAATATTGGAATTACTAAAATTATTAGAAATACTAAAAATACCAGAAAACTGCAGTATAAATGAATCCAGTTATTGTATCAATGAATTAACATTAAATTAATCGGACATTAAGTTGGAAATTGATTAAAGATCATTCATTGGACCAAAAATGACCGAAATTTTTTCCAATGCTCCATGTAATATTAAATTTACACCCACGGTGTTAAATCAACATCATATTGGTGAGAATATAAATTTAACATCGTACAATATTAAATCCACACATATATTTTTTAGGGTATAAGATTTCTGCGATCGCTACAGAATACTGTATCGATCCCCACTAAGTTCCCGTTCGATCATATTAATTTCGCCCGTGCTTCTTTGTTACTGTCTAATTTCGCGCGAGTGGGAAGTACACCGACCCACCAGTCGGCCTACCGCGGAGTATCGTAAAGTTAACGCTAATTAAACTTTACCGATAGTTGCATCGAGCCACTCGCGACCTCTCTCCGAGCGAACTCCTTCTTAATCAGCCCGGCTACCCATATTCGCGGTTGAGGATGGTACACGCGGGTACGAGTTATCATCTCGATACACAGCAGCCTGCGCTCGTTTATTTCTCTTGGGCGCCCCACCGCGAGATAATCACGATCTGTGCACATGTTAACGATGAATTATCGTATGCAATTACTTTTACGATAAACTCGCGTGGATATGGTTTTCGAAGCGGAGATTAAAATCGATTTGATCCCGATGTATTTCACTGAAAAATTATTGCCGGGATTTATCAGAGTACGTTATATCGATCATAGTTTAATTATCTTTCTATTACAATCGTTTGCTGTGCACGGTTATTTTTAATCGTACTGGATCCATTTTCCGAGTCGTTACGCTTAAAATATCTGGCGCGTGTCACATTTTTCGGGAAAAGTCCTTTAATGAAGTACTTAACATTTTGCGTAAATTTAGGAAATAATGGACCACGTTTCCAGTTAAAACCTTCCTGCTTTTCAATTAGTGCGACACTAAAAGGCGTAAGGGGGGGAACGAGAAGAACAGTGGAGCGTTTAAGTTTGCAGTTGACGTACGTTAATAATTTTATACGCGCGGCGAGTCGCGACTATTAAATAATCAAACGCAT